GTCATGGCACCTGTCGCACAGGTCTGGAATCTTTGTCCTACCTGACTGTTTCACTCACAGGTTATAAACGCTCTGAGGATAGAGACCATGTATTCCCTTTTATCATCGCCTGAATGTAACTAGAACTTTTGGCACAAGTTCTATAAAAAAAACTAGACACTGTGGCGCATGAAAGAAATCTCAGTACCCTGGAGACCGAGGCAAGAATGTAAGTTTGGGGCCGGGGATTTAGCTCAGTGGTGCCACCACCTGCCTCGCAAGCACAAGGCCCTGAGTTCGATCCCCCATACCAAAGATTAAATAAATAAATAAATAAATAAATAAATAAAATCTCATCTTAGATCTCATCTAGATAGCTCCTTGGTTTCATGTGAAGATTAGAAGGCAGGGCAGGCAAAGGAAGAGATTCAAGGGGTAGAGAATCAGCATGAATTGCCCACGTGCTACAAGACAGACAGTGCTAAGCATTTACACTGTTATATTCTGCAGTTTTGACAACCTCTCCATAAGGCAGGTAGTAGCAAACTCATTTTATGGGTAAGAAAAGCAAAATATGCAGAATATAAGTGGATTAAGTCCACATCGTTACAGTTGAGTAAGTAGTGAGGCTTAGATTCAGTTTGACTTCAAAGTTCTAAGTCCTTTCCAAATGCTCCAAGAGCATGATAACCGCAATTTATAACCCAATGGTTTATTTATTTATTGTTTTTTCAGCTTTAATTGAGTTTATTGGTACATTTAGGGATACAGTACAGCTACATTCATTGTTGGGATCTTGTACCTCTACATGACAGGTCTTGATTCTCATTTTTTCCCCTTACCCCTTCCCTCCCTTCACCCCCTCCTCCCCTCCCCATCTACAAACACTTTATTTTCATCTTTTCATTCTCTCACACTTTTTTTTTCTTTTCCCTTTTTACTCTTCTCCTACCCATCCCACCTTCCCTACACTTTTAGCTCCTTTGTTCCCATTTCTAAATGTCAGTAATCTTATTAGAATCTTATGCATTGTTGCAGATTATTTACACCAGGGAACAATGGTTTATTTACTAAACAAATAAATGGTAGAAAAGCAGTCATTCTCAATGGGAGATATTAAGCCAATTAATATAGTTTGCTCTTTGATTCAGACTTATTTTCAGGACATTTTAAAAAATATTTTCAGCTCTGTAATGCTTACTGCACCTACATTATCAGGAGAGTGTGCTAATGTGTGTCTATGAAACTGGACGTATGTGTAATGTTTGTGTCACTGTTTGTGTGGGTTTGTGGGGCCTGTTGCTGACTGTGAGGGATGCCTAAATCTACTTCCTCCCCTCCCTTTCCTTCCCATGGCTACTTAAGTACTCTGGGGCCATCCCCATATAAGGTCCTGTCTGGGGAAGTTGTTCAGTCTTGTTGCTCCTGCACTTCCCCCCCACCCCACCCCTTTCTGAGCATTTTTAGAACTGGTGGTTTCCTGCAGCTGTCCACTGGGTACTCTTGCTGCCAATGATTTTAACTTCTCCCCGGCAACAGTCGATGGGGAAGACATTCAATTGGCTCAGAGCATTTTCTTAGCCAATCAAATGTTAATATAGTGAAATTCACTTCCTTGCCCCATCCTCCTCACAAGCCCCAACCAATGAGAAGCTGGTTTTGCCCCTCACTGTCAGTGTGGCATTTTAGAAAACAAAAATATTTTAGTAATGTATGGAGTTTAAACAAGTGGAGCTAGGGACAGAGTAGAAGTATAAATGCCCATTGCTCTGCCCTCTCCAGAAATCCTGGCTCTCCCACCTCCACCACAAAAATAGGGTTTGGACAAATGCTCAGATTTCTTCCGTTCTATCCACTGAAGCAGAGAATCTCAGGGGCAGAGGGAATTTAAAGAAATTGCCCGGATTCTGTTATTGCTCTAGTCTTATTCCCCACCTCAAACACATACTCATGCACCACACCTGGTGTCTTGTGGTTATCCAAACTCTGCTTGAACTAGGGATGAGGCACTTGCTTCCTGCTCAGCCACTGCCTCTCCTTTTTCCAGCAGCTCCTTGTTCCTTCTTTTCATCTCTAAGATCAGATACTTGAATGGTTTCAGTGCCGCTTCTGTTGCTGTTATTCCTGTTTCTGTTCCTGCTTGTGTACCCACCCTCCTAGCACAGGCCCCCTGCGTATGCAGGCGGGCAGGGGAGACAGAGGTCACCTGGGCTCTTATGGGGATGCAGGGGCTGTAAGAACTTCTAGGACTCCTCACTTTAGGATATTAGGTGGAGCCCATAACCTGGGTCTGAGAGGGGTGGTACAGAAATGATCATTCTAGCAAGGGGTCAGGCTTTGCCTGGGACTGAGTACTGGGCACCCATCATTTCTGTTTGAAGAGCTCTGTCTCTCTCTGCCCCCTTTCACTCTATGTTCTACCCACCCATTCACAGAGCGGGGGCTGCTGTGATTTCAAAACAAAACTTCCTTTTGCCAGTAAAAACCCTACCCACTGGGCAAAAGATTTCTTCTTAAAATAGCACATAGAAGAGTGATTTAGAAAGGGTGAATCACTGAGAGCCGTTAAGAAAGTGAAAAGGGCCATTGTGATTACCTGTCCCTAGGACACAGCCCAAAGCACACCCTCTGCAGCCCTCATGGCCCATTAAGGCCAGGTTCAGTCTCTGCACTGATCATCCTGACCTTATCTTCCAGTTCCTTGTATTGTCCCAGGGTTTCTGTTCTCCTCCCCAGAATGTTCACTCCTTCAGGACAGGGTCATGTGTTGTGTTTGTCCCTCACAGTAGCTTGGCACAGAGCTCTGCTCACTGTACCATGAGCTCATGGCAGCAAGGTCCTTGAATGTATTCTTGGTGGTCCACTTTTGCTAATTAGATGAAACAATGGACAATAGCTTGGCCTGCTCCCACTGTCCTGTTCCCACCGCCTCCCGCCTGGCTGGGAGGAGACCAGGGCACCAAGCCTAGGTTTACTGAGAGCAGCACTGGGTGGCGCTCTTCTCACTGTCACAGCAGGAGCAGGCGCTGTGCTGCGCAGAGTAAAGTACAGGGCATGGTGGAAGGCTCTGAACACGACCTCCACGGCCTGCCTCCACCCCACCGTCTCAGCTCCATACCCCAAGCCGCGCCTGGTGGCCCAGCAGCGGCTGCTATGGCAGAGTGAGGTGCCCTCGGTCCCTCCGTTCTCCCCCTTCCACCCTCAGCTCAAGGTCTTCTTTTCCTATAGTTCCTCCCTCCCCTCCACATTCTCTGATTCTCAGAAGTCCTACTTCCACAGTTCACACAGGACTGTCCAGGTTCTCACTCCAGCAAAGCTACCTGCTCAGACAGACAAGCGGAACCGTTCCAGGACCCTACTTTGCCTCTCATATTCCACCACGACTGGACACCAGCTCCGCTCCCCTCAGATTCTGCCTCATGCTCTTCTTTTTGCTTTGCCATTTGTCCCCGAGTGGGCCGTGTCCTGTTCCTCCAGCTGAATTCCATTCTAACCCCACATCTTCAAAGATGTCTGCTGGGTTTATGTGAGTTGATTCTGGGGACCCTGTCCTGGTCACTCAGTAGCCATGAGGAACCTCTCACATTGCCAAAGCCTTTACTGTTTGTTTTTTTATATTTATTTATTTATTTTGGTTTTTTGAGACAGGGTCTCACTATGTAGTTGAGACTGACCTGGAACTCACTACGTAGCCCAGGCTGGTCTCCAACTCACAGTGATCCTCCTGCCTCAGCCTCCCGAGTGCTGGAATTACAGGCATGCGCCACCACTCCCAGCTAGGCTTTACTATTTGAAAATATGGAAACCTCTGCTCCCAGAACAACCGTATGTGAAGAGTTTTGGTCTCATTCCATATGAGTAACCTGAGGCTCAGCATGTGACCCAAGACCACCCAACTAATAGGTTGCAGGCCCCTAGCCCAACCAGACCATGGGCTTCTGCTTCAGGGCTCTTCCTAAGCCAACAGCCACGCTCCTCTTGCTCCTATCACTGAGGACCTGTAGGGCTTGATGTCCTTTTTATCTCTGCATCTTCGTGTTCTCATCCACGGTACTTGTCAAGTGTTTGATGTGTCGCCTTTGCTCAGTTGGGAGCTTACAGAGGTGAGGGCCAGTGTGTGCTTTCTTTGACAGTTCCTTGGAATCTGGGACAGGGTCCTGCCAATCAAAGGTGTCGAGGCTGGGGGTCCGAGCGGCACCACTGAAATGGCTCTTTGCCACCTTCAAGTGCCTGGTAGGCCCTATGGCAGGTGGTCGTGGACAGAAAGGTGATGATAATAACAGCAGCTGTTGTTTATTGAGCACCTACCAAGTGCTGGGCATCATGCTAGTTCTTTATTTACATAACTTAATCCACACAACAACAGATCTCTAAGGAGGTATTATTATTGGAAAATTAGAAAACTCATGCTCAGAGTCATGGAATCAAGGTGCAATACACATTTGTCTGACTCGAAAGGAGCACATAAATAGCAGAATTCCACATACAATCTTACAAATATGATGATCTCTCACTCCCTGAAGGCCTATCCTACCTTTGCCTTTTCCTTCCCCAACAAATTAAATTTGGAGAGAGGAAAGCAAGGCAGGTTGTACCTTATATATAAGCACACAGACTCTCTCTCTCTCTCTCTCTCACACACACACACACACACACACACACACACACACATGCACACACACGCGCACAGCACTTACACTTATTGCCACCCTGGATTTCTGAGCCAGGGGTGGGGTCAATTCCCCAGGACTCTAGTCCTTGTCCCCTTCCCTGGTGCTAAATAAAAGTGAATAAATACTAAATAAATACAATTTGGGCCTAGGACCCACCCTGCCCTCCCCCCTTCCACCTGTGGCCTGCAGGGAAGAGGGGACAGTGTAGGCAGAAGACCGTCTCTTATCCCCCTCCACCAAGTCATCACTGCCCCCCAGGTCAGAAGACCAGGGCAAGGCCAGCCTGCACAGCAGGCTGAGAAGAGGGGTGGGCTTACCCCACAGCTCTCGACACCCTCCCCACTGTGTCTTAGCAAGGAGGCAGTGGCAGACCTCCCTCAATTTCCCAGCTGAGTCTGAGGCCCCGGTGCCCAGAAAGGGCAGCCGGGATGGTGAGGTTATTTCCTGCCCGCCCAGGGGCGCCGCCGGAGGATCTCCAGAATCTGTGCCCTGCGGTGCAGCCAGTCCTGGGGTGGCGGGCGTGGTGTGGAAGGGGCTGGCCGGGGCACAAAGAAGCTGTACCGAAGGCGAACATTCTGTGCGTTGCCAGCCACCAGGACTTGTAGCATCAAGGGCTGGGCCAGTGGCCCATGGCCTGACAGTGTTTCTGAGGCCGCAGTGGCCCCACTGTAGCGCAAGCTGACTGCCTCAGGCAGTATCACGTCTGTGGGGGAGGGCATAAGTGTGTATTCACCATTCAGGGCATAGGAGCCATCTGCGAGCTTCAGGGCCAAGTAAGTGCTCCGAGGGCCAGGGGGCCCTTGCTGGCGAACAAGGACATGGGTGGCCCCTGCAGGGATAGTGACCACGGTGTTGTATCCGTACCTGTGTGGAAGGAACAGAGTGGGGCTCAGCATCTGAATGCCCTCAGCCTCCTGAGCTATTATCTGGTCTGACTGTGTGTGTGCGCGCGCGCGTGTGTGTGTGTGTGTGTGTGTGTGGTGCGCACCCGTGTCTCCTCTCCTATGGGAGCTGTGCAGCCTAAATCAGAGCTGGACTCACATGCACCCAATCCCCTCCTATGTCCCGGCCACCCTGTACTCAGGTGCCTTCCCACTGACTTCCTCAGTGCTCCGCTGAATGTAGGGACGCCGTACTGTAACTGCCTCCTCTGCCTCCCTGCTACGCTATGTGTTGAATTCACCTCTCTATCCTCAGAACCCAGAAAACCATCTAGGAGAACGGGGTGGGGAGATGAAGGAACCTGAATTTTCTGAAGGAGCCGGACTGCTTGCTGCAGCTCGAGCCGTCCCCACCGCACACCATGCACTTGTCAAACTTCTTCTTGGAGCCAATGATGCGGTCACAGCCAGCGTGGATGCAGTGGCCCTGGACACAGACTGAGGAGCTGTCTGGGGAGCAGGGGGTCCCATCTACTACCTGAACAGAAGAGAAGGAGCAAGGTAAGTGGCTCTTCCTAAATTGGAGCAGTGGGTAAGCCAAACAAGACTCAGGTCCCATCGGGGAAGGGGCCTCAGAAAAGCTGAGTGAACTGTGGGATGTGGTCAGTGTGTAGGGTGAGTCCCAGCCACTGTGTAAGCTGATAATCATAGTAATACTTATAATCATTATTATATAATGATTTCCCCCAGGTACAGTGGTACACATTTGTAATCCCAGCACTCTTGGTCACTGAGGATCACAAGTATGAGCCTCGACCGGGCAATTTAGCAACCTTGTGAGACCCTGTCTCAAAAGTAAAAACAGAGCTGAGGACGTAGCTCAGTACAGAGGCCATGGGTTCAATCCCTGGTACTAAAAACAAACAAACAAAAAAACATTCTTTTAACACATTAGTAACCAGGCAGGGTACCAAATACTTTATAAACATGAATCCTTCCGACTACAATTTGAGGTTTCTAGAGATGAAATGCTAAGATTTAGAAAGATCGAAGAACTTGACTAAAGCCTACACAAACGACCAACAAATGTGCCAAGGTGGAAATTTTAGGTCACAGACTTGAAACCAAGCCCTAAACCAGATGCTACTGTCTCCACGCAGACGCTAGAGGGCGCCAACCAACCGGAATTATCCGCAGATTGGGGGAAGGGAAGGAGGTCAATGCTGCTTGGACTGAGTTTTTCTTCCTCCGCCTTCAGCCCACATCCCTGTCACACTGAGGTAGTATAGGGACATCAGTCATCTCCGGGAAGCCTGTCCTTCGAGGGACTGGCTGTCCATGAACAGACTGCTGCCACCACTGGAATCTGACAAAGCCCTAAGGCAGGTTGAGGACTTGCCCAAAAGGCCACACACTTCCATTCTTGTCCTAAGGAGATGAGGGAGAGGGGAAAGAAGCAGGAAATGCAATAGGCCAGAGCAGCCTCACTGACCACTTATCCAGCCTAGGGTTTGTTTTCCCAATACACATGGATAGGCAGGTCTGAGCGGACCCCTGGGCTGTGGGAAAGCCAGCATGAACTCAGGACCTTGCACTTGTCAGGCAGGCAGGACGCCACTGAGCTAAATCCCTGGCCCAGAAGGATGTTAGCTGTTAGAAAGCAAAGGGACAACTGGGAAGTGTCTGAGCATAAACAGGTCTGGGGTCTTCCTGGCCCTTACCCGTGGTTCCAGCACATAGTAGTAGCCCAGTGCCTGGGCCTGGCAGGTGAGTTTGCACTGGTCCCGGAGGGCCACACCTGCATAGCGAGGAACCCAGTCCATGGGCCCCGGGAAGCTCTTGAAGAGGTCAGTGCGATGGTTGTAGGCAGCACACTGCTCCTCGCGGAAGGTCAATGCTGCAGGGTGAAATGGACAGTCAGAGCCCCTCTCTGCACGCTGTCCCCTCAACCTCCAAACCTCTTCACCCAGCGCCTCAGAACCTTAGACAGGAGAGTACTTCTCTCCCACAGACTGCCAGGGACAGTCTAGTGAAGTCACTCCCTGCCAGCAGCAGGGTCAGTAGACAAATTTTTTTTAAGCCTAGGCTGACCTCGAACTCATTATGATCTCCCTGCCTCAGCCTCCTAAGTGCTGGGCTTATAGGTGTGCACCACTACCCCCAGCTAACACGTCTTTAGTCCTATATTCTGGACAGTCCTTCCTGCTCTACCCTCCCTTCCCAAGGAGACCCAGCACTCCCACCCTCACCTGAGCCAGTTGGGCAATTCTCAGTGTTGCAGGAGCGGAAACGAGTGCGACGGCCTTCACAGTACTTGCCGCCATTCCGGGGCACAGGCTTCGTGCAGTCCCGGGAGGAGAACTGGACGCCACCACCACAGCTCCGAGAACAGTCACCCCATGGTCCCCAAGGACCCCAGCCACCAGCCTGTGGAACCTGCAGAGGCGCGAAATGGACAGGTGGGGTAAATGTGCTCTCCTGGTCTTAGAGAGTCCCCACTCCCCAGGCCCTTTCCCACCCCTGCCCTGTGACCTCACATTGAAGTCCTTGAGCTGGTCCACGTGGAGGCAGCGACCTCCCATGCAGGCCTGTGTGGGCCCACAGGGGGTGCCATCGGCCCAGGGTGAGTGCTTGGTCTGGCACATGGCATGGCCATTGAGGTGGCCAGAGCACCAGAGAGCGGCACAGGGTGGTGGCAGCTGTGGACAGTGGTGCGAGTCGGGCCCAAAGGTCAGCTGGCACTGGCGGTCAGCGTCATAGTCCTTGCCAGGAAAAGTCACAGGCAGATTCAGGGGAGCCTCTGGCTTGTCTAAGAGACAGTGTCCTGGGAGGAAGTAGAGGCACAAGGTCAGCAAGGAGCTGAGGGGAGCACTCAGGCTTCTCAGCTGAAATCTTAGGCTTGCTGAGGCCTGGGGGCGGGGGAATCCTAGAGCTATAGGAGGCTTTAAACAGTAGCTACACTTGATTGGATGCTTATTATGTGGTGAGCACAGGCTAAGTGTGTGACCAGCGGTATTTAATCGTGGTAAATACCTAGGTGGCCATTACCATTATTATACCTAGTTTATATATCAGCTACAAGCAGCAAGAGGTAAAGTAATCGACAGTTACCCATCTGCATACACCTAAGAACAGAATCAGAATAGGAACCCAAAGCACTAAGTCTTCCTACCTGACCTGAATCCTCGTGTCTGCTTCTCCTTGACAGCTCTGCCTAGTGACAGCCATGCTACGCACTGGGTGTCAAGGTAGTCACCTCCTTTACATCCAGACGGTCCTGGCCCTTAGAAGGTCAGTTCTAATTCTCTCGAGCCAAAACTTTGCTCCCCTTACTCTGCTGTCTATTTTGGTAGGAAATGGGAAGCACGCAGAGAGGGCAGTTTCTCATACCCTCCACATGCAGAGGAAGCACTTGGAGGAGTTGCTGTGATGCACTGGGTCCTACCCAGGGACTCCATTTGAGTCCTACCAGAGTCCTGCCATCTGCTTACCATAGCCATTGTCCAGGAAGTCAGTGATGAAGCGGGCACTGCAGGGGGACCAGGGCTCCTCGGGGTCCACATGGGCCATCACAGGGGCCATGACATGGTGGGAGGTGCTTCCCTGCCCATTCAAACTAATGCACGGCTTGGAGTTGTCATGAAGCATGTTGAAGACATGGCCTGGGAGGGCAGAGGTCCTGCTAGTGTCCAGGGGCCCATGCCTGTGCCCAGACGCATGAGTCTGATTATAGGTGGGGATGCCGTTCCCACCCTACCCCCCAGTCTCCCGCTGATGCTGACAGCTCCTCACATGGAGCCCCCACTGCTTTGACTCCCCTTCCTCAAAGGAAAGACCTTTCTTTGCTCATTTTCACTGGAGTCAACACTCCCAGTCCCAAATTTCAAATGTTTCCTCACTGTCTCCTCCTCCAAACACACATTCTCTCTCCCTCTCCCTCTCTCCCTCCCTCCCTCTCTCTCTCCTCCCTCTCTCTCTCTCTCTCTCTCTCTCTCTCTCTCACACACACACACACACACACACACACACATTTACACACATACCCTTTATGGTAGGTTTCCATATATTCTCTATTTAATAGGAAAATTTATGTTTGTCTCTACCCAGAACAGAGAATTATGGTCCTGGCTCTAGGCCTAGGAAGTAGGAAGATACCTTGCGACCCCCATTTGCCCCTGGTGCTCACAATCCCTTCAACTCATTTACAACACCTCGTCCACCCAACCCAGGGGCCCCCTTCTCCCAGGCCCCACTTACCTAGTTCATGAGCAGCAGTGAAGGCTGACTGGAGCCCGTCGTCCTCCACAATAGCACAGCTCCGAGCTGGGTCACACACAGTCCCCACATCAGCCATGCCCAGTGTGTCGCAAGTGGAGACCCCACACAGGTCCTGTGGAGAGGGATCGCAGAAGATGCATGGAGAGAGCCAAAACATGCAGGCCCAAGAGGGTGAAACCTGGATTAGTGGTGGGGCCTGGGCTCTGAGGATCCAGCACTGTCAGGACCCAGAGAGCCCCACATGGCAGCGTGGCTGGGGCCAGGTGCCATTTCCATCACAATTCATAGAGTGATGCCTCTTGGTTGTGCAGTGCCCAGCCTGTGGTAAGGATTGGGGCCTCACCTGACGGGTAAACAAAATGGCTGTATCAAAGTGGTCAGGGTCTGAGTCCTCGGGGGTGTTGAGGCCTCGCTGCCAGGCACAGAAGCTGCGTAGCGTCTGGGCGGCACTGGGCCCCACTTGAGGGCCCTCCTGGCCTGACCCCAGAATCACTAGTCGAGTCACCACCAAGCTGACAGGATTGCGGATGCTTGGGTGCTTGAAGGCCTTGGCTGCTGCTGCCATAACTGTGAGCAGATAGCGCTTTAGGCCTGCGCCGTGGAATGCTGCCATCTTGTCATCGGCCACCACCAGGGTCTCCACAAATCTACTCAGTGATGCAAAGCGCTGGAGAAGAAGAGGGACAGCAGGATCCTGAAATAGCTTCCCAGACCCGGTTTTGCTTCTCCCCTCCCTCACTTCCTGGGCCTGGAAATAAGCTGAGCCAGCTGGACCCTGCATACCCCATGGGATTCCTGCCGGTCTGGGTTGGGCCCTCCCCTCAACCCCAAATCCCAGGGCTTTTGTGGTAATGCTGAGGAATCAGCTGTTGATTCTGAACAAGGGAAGATAGAGATGCCACGTCCCAGGGCTGTGTGGGCCCTGAGGCGAAAAGCCACTGGGTTGCCTCTGGGAGGAGCTTTGGGGACCCCCAGGCCTGAGTATGTATGGCTGGGGCCTGTGGGACTAGGGCTGGAAGGCTGGGCTGCAACGTGTCTGCCCTGTGCGGTTGGAGGAACAATTCAGTCAGCAGCTAGGGCTGGGGCCAGAGCTCAGCGTGGCGGGTGTGGAGGGAGGTCTGGTCTGCATTAAAACTAAGGAGGGGGGAGGAAGTAAGGGAAAGGGAAGAGGGAAAGGATGGAACCCCAGACAGCCTCAACAGTCACTCTACAGTGTTGGATGGCAACTGACCAGGAGGAGGTATGGGATCCTTCCCTCCCCTGCCCATTCCTGCCCTAGTTTGCAGTTTGCCAGAAGAGTTTTGAAGGTAGCATCAAGAGCCAGAGGCCAATCCCTCTGGCCTGGCCTCAAACCTCACTCCTTTAACTGGGGGTGGGGGTGAAAATTATTGGGGCAGAGAAAAGAGCCAAGGCCAAGGGGCTGTTAGAGCTTTATTGCTGGGGACGGTGCCAGCAGGGGACGCCATGGCCAGGCTGGGGAAGAAAGGAGGGGGAACCGTCATTCTCAGCCTAGCATAGGCAACTCACCTTCCGGAACCCTCAGAGTGGATCGGAGGTCTGGTTAGAAGAAGGGCTGTGCAGAGAAGCCAGAGCTTTCCTGACACAGGAGGCCAATGGAGAGGAAGGAGAGAGGCAGACAGAAGACAAGGAGCAGAAAGGCCAGAAGTGGAAGTGGGTGGAGAGAGGGTGAATAGGGGTCAGTGGGACAGACATGGCCGGAAGACACTGCGGGTCACACTCTTGGGTGCCTACCTTAGCTCTTCGGGGGCTGGGATGGGGACTCCTAGGAGGAGACTTGACGTTGCACATGGGACCCTGGCCGCTGGCAGGACTCTTCCGGCGAAGGATGTGAGCCCCAGGCCCTCCAGCAGAGTTAAGAGTGCCCCCTTCCAGGGGCTGGAGGTGGAGTTCAGCCCCTCGGTACTGCAACACCCCTAATAGGGCTCCCCCGTCCCAGTGCAGAGATGCTACGGACTCCGGATCTCCATTGATGGTGCCAGTCAGGTAGGTGCCCGGCTCCGCTCCTCCCAGCAGCTCAGGCGCCTGGCCCAGGTACTGCACAGTCAGCCCCTCGACCCGCACGCCGGGATCCTGCTCCAGCTCTAGCAGCAGCGTCTCCCCAAAGGCTGGCAAACGATACAAGAGTCTGGCTGGGGCGCCGGAGCCAGGCAGGACGCTGCCGTTGAGCTTCTCTGGAAACACGATCTCCTCCTCCCGAGGGAGGGGGCTGGCTGGCCAGGCTGAGGGCAGGAGGGACACCAGCAGCAGAAGCAGCCACACCAGTCCTGAGAGAGGTGCAGCGGAGGGCAGCAGGCGGGGTTGGACTTTCCACAGCCCACTCCTGGCCAGGCCCCTCTCGGGACGCGAGCCTGTCAGAGACCTGGCACGGGTGCTGCCGCTGGCAGGGACAGAGGCCATCTGGGGGCACTAAGTCCTCCACACCCCCAGATATAAAGCTCCTGTCTAAAGTTTAGGGTTCCCCCGTGCCAAGGCCACGGGCAGTTTTCAGAGGGCCTGAGGACCTTCACAGGAGATGAAGAAAACTTAACCCTTTGACTTAGGAAAGCTGCTCAGGGGTCGCTCCTCCAAACTCTCCTCCTGCGCCTCCTCTTTGTCTCTCCTGCTGTGCCTTTGTCTCAGTCTATCTCCTCCTCTATCTCTCTGTATCTATGAGTCTGTGGGTCTCCCCGTGGGCTCTCCCAGCCTCTCTCCCCGCCAGCTCTTTTAAGCATTCAGAGCTCTGCGATTGATTGGCTGATCTGTAAGCCACTCAGTCTGGGGTTCTGTCGGTGGGTGGAAGGGTGTCTCATTGCTTCCCAAAATCCTAGTTTTTATTTTCTTAATTAAAAAAAAAAACGGGACTTGCCCAGGGGAGGGGACTCTAGCAGCTGGATGAATTTCAAAGGCACTGGGCCAGCTGATGACATAGGTTTTTTTTTTTTTTTTTTTTTTTTTTTTTTTTTTTT